TTGACGTTGAGGAACATTTTTTTAAAGTATTCCACAATTTTTTTACGCAAGCCTTCACAGGTTGAGAGCCTCTGGCCATCTTTACTTCTGAGAGACTCAGCCTCTCTAAGACATCCCTTTTATAGCCAATCGTGGTACACACCTGATGCCAGTTAACTTAATTACTTGCTGAATGTTCTTTCAGCTGATTCTTTTATATATTATTTGCTTTTTCAGCCCTTTTTTGCCTGTGTCCCAACTTTTTTGAGACCTATTGAAGCCAGAAAATTTGAAATAAGCTCATTTTGTGGATAAAAATGTGAAATGTTTCAATTTCACCATTTGAAATGTTATCTACGTTCTACTGTAAATAACACATTGCCACGTGATCTGAAAGTCATTGCATTTTTATTTTATTCACAATTTACACTACGTCCCAACTATTTCGGAATTGGGGTTGTATTTTGTTCTTATTTTCTTTCTATGCAAAGCTGAGAAATATTTTATGCTTTCATCTGCACTCAGTTAAGCCTTAGATTAAACTGCAGAAATGATAAAACCAAAATGTCATTCAGAGTCACAAACCATTTCCTTTAAATCATAAGTGCTTCTCGGCAGTTAAAAGATTTAGAATATGATAACAAAGATAAGACGGACCAATTAAGAAATTTTGTTACGTTCATTAAAGGCGTGAGGATTACCCACTGAAAAACATTCGGCGATAAACAGTCTGCCACACACAGTATAATGTCTCAGAGCCGTTAATAGCCATGCCTCAGTGAGGCAGACCATCTGGGGACAAAAGATTTTTAATTTAAGAAATGGCATAAATATGTTAGAATTCCAGGCAGGCATGTACACATTGTCGTTACTATCTTTTTTCTGGCAAATAAAATGCTAATTGTTCTTTTGCTACCTGACCACCTTTTCACTCTATACTGTTCTCTCAGAATGCAGATTTATCATGAAATGGTATTTTCTGATTGCATTAGCTGTGTATATACAACCATTTACCCAGAATTGGACCCTAAAAATGCAGGCAATATTTTTTTTAAATTATATTTTATTTTTAAGGGTAGCATAAAAGTGACTTAATGGTGTAAAGATGAGCTGAGAGGACAACGGTTATCACAGATTTTATTGTATTTTTTTGTTTGTTCCCCCCCTTAAATTGTAATCCCGGGAGTGCAGAGTGTTGCATGTGTAATGACTCCATGTGTGGGAGTTTGCGGTGCGTCACACGCATGATAGGGCAATAGCTAAAAATACAACATGCAATTAACACTCATACGTACCTCTAATCTTCTGAATCTGTGTGCACTGGTTCCCATTATAACCAGCACAATATCACATTATGTTTCTCTGGTGAACACCAAGAAAAGAGACTCCACTTCATCTGAGGACACTACTCATCACCAAGAATGGCAGCGAATAATGTGAATGAATTAGTTCACACTCAGTCATTCCTTAGTAGATCCATTCCTAGATCTGCCTCTCCATTCAGCTGCCTATGACATTCAGATCTGTTCCCTGCCTGCGAAGAGAGGAAATGGACTGAGAGGAAATCCCTGACACAGCCACAGGTCCACCGTGACAGGACAGGGTTGAGCAGTTGTGCATATGTCAATGTGTCCATGGTGTGATACAGCATAGTGCTTTTTTCATACCTTTGATTTGTACTGATTTCCAACATTGCTGCTGCTCATTGGAACCAATCTTTTCAGCAAACAATCTATTTATTTGTAGCCATGTTACTGCTCCTGTGTTTATGAGCTAAAGCTTTGATGATGCTTCGTTTGTATTGGAGGGCAGCAAGATCACGCCATGGGGGGGGGAGAACCCTAGGGGAGCTCAACATGAAAACATGATTTGAGAAATTTCGGGGGTGGGCTCTGAAATATAATCTGACATTATGTGATTTTGTCGTAGCATATAGTACGAAGCCTTCCAGGGTCAGTATGCAAAATATTTTGGGGGTTGGAAATTAGATAATTCACACTTACAGAATTTTATATCCATTCCTTCAGTTTATAAACTGTGCTTATGGACAAATTTAAATTGATGTCCCAATTATGGACATGTCTGAACAGAAGCAAGTGGATCGTGGTTTTTACATTTTCTTATATGTAAAAAAAGCCCCATGTGAATAACCAACTTCCTGGTTTATGGTAGCAGACAAATAATTCACAGAAAATATAGGGCTTTAGATTGAAGTGCCTTGTGCTAAAAGTACTTAAGTCACATTTTCACACACTGCAATGTGAGGATGAAAAACTCCTTTAATGGTGACCAAATTTCATCTTCTCAATTTTCTCAAAATGAACTTCATGTGACTTCAATGCTTTTTGCAATGGGGTCTTCAATTAGCAGATTTTATGAATCTATTGTACTATTCAGACCCTTTTTTTCTCAAGATAGACATTTTGTGACTTAAGTACTTTTAGAGCTAGGGTCTTCGATTACGTTATCATGAGTAGGCAAATTTGGTGTGATGTGCAGAGTCAAACACGCTAGCTGTCTTCCAGAGATGCAGGAACATATTTCAAAAATCTGAATAATTATGATGAACGAGGCAAAGTTTTTCAGTAAATGCAATCAATAATTTTGATTTTTCTAACCCACCAAGCACCTTCCTTCATTTCGATATTTGAACTTGTGCATCATTGCCATAAAATATCCACTACACTGACGTTTCCTTATAGGCTGCCCATATAACAAAAGCTGAGCCCATATTGCCAAAAAAAAATTACTTCAAGGTATTTGCTTCATATTCATTAAAATTGCACCATGAAATATGAAATACATTTACGCTTGACTCGTTATCATATGATTTACTTCTCAGTCATTTGAATTGTTGTTGTTCAATTCTTTAACTTTAGGTCTAGAGCAGTTGTTTTTCCATCCAACTGATAGGTCTCTGTGATGCGTATATGCGGTTATAATTATTATAATGGCCAAAAATTTTTTCTCTCCAAAAAGTGCTCAGACATTGTTCACGGATGGGGTGGCACAATGTGAAATCTTCAACGATACAGTTCTTTGGCTGGCAGGGTTAGTATTTACACATGTTCGTATTTACACATATGGTATTTTTGTGGACACACAGCATTTAAAGGCATCGAAGGCATATTCAAACATTATTTTATAAAAAGCACATAGTTAATGATAGAAAGCTCAAACTCAACAAAATGCTAGATATAGCCATACAAAAGTGGCTCCTCAGAAATCGCTTTTTAAAAAAGGGCTGGAACTTAGTTGCAAAAATATTTTTTTTTATGACAAAACTATCATGAGTTGAGAGCTAAAATTTTGGATTTCTCCTATCAGGAGGTGAATGCACCCACTGGAATTTTTTCAGCCAAATCTGAGATAGTCAAGTGGGAGCCATTCAGGCATTTGACAAGGAATGACCCTTCTTAAAAAAAGGGAATGTTAGCAACATAAGGTAGGTTGAATTTCTGCATTATAATATAGTAATTATGTATTTTGACTGCCAAGAATTTTCATGTGATTTTGAATGTATTACGCTGATAGTGGCCTACTATATTCTGAGAAATCAAACTTTATTACCAACACTTTCTTATTCCAACTTGTCACGTAGTGACACTACCTGACCAAGCGTCAATATACAACTTGAAAAGAGGCTTTTGGCGTCTTTATTTGACACGTAGAGTTAGGGTTTGGGGTTAGGGGATAGGGTTTGTTTTAAACTGGCATCAAATAAGGACTTCAGAAGCGCCCTTTTGTGTCGGATATCAACGCTTGGTCAGGTAATGTAAATATATGATGCATTGAGATGAGACTGGGCCCTTTTTACCTCATTATTATCAGGTTATTACCCCATTAATATCACCATATTGCCATTTGTAATCCAAATATTGCACTGATAACAATTTGCAGGTTACCTTGTTGCTACACAAATATTAAAACGCAATTATTAAATTGTTTCATCTCACTGTGATCTCTATATGAACTTTAACATTTTTACCCTTTGTTTTTGGCCCTTCATACTCTTGTTACATAAAGTTCATTCTCATATACAGTAACCTTGATATAGCCATTGTTGTTACCAAGCTATTCCCTGGTTTGGTCATTTTGTCGCATTAATCAATTGTTACTTTGTTATAGTTAACCTATTACCCTGCTATCACCAATTATTAGCCACACTATAACATGGCATATAAATAAGTATGGTAATTACATGCTTTTTTTATTATTATGTATTTATTACCAATCAATTACCTCATTATTACCTTGTTTTTTTTTTTTTTTCTTCCCGCCACCACCCCCCCTCTTGGGAGGTCAGCTTTATTTTTATTAACAAAATATTGAGGGGAGGACACAAAAAAAGGGGAAAGACAGGAGGATGGGCAATACAAATAAATCTGAATCAAACAAACAGCTAGGACTACCTTGTTATTGCTCAGGCCATTTACCTGGTCATTATTTCGGTAATTCAATGGCATTTCTTCATTATTTGCTTCTTAATTACCAAATTATCACCCTAACATTACCATCTCATGACCCAAATTATAACCTGGTCATACTTTGGTAATTGCATGCCATTGCTTAATTATTACTTCTCTATTATCAAACTATTAATCCAGTATTACCGTCCTGTTACCAAGTTGTAATGTAAAGTGCACCTCCTTTTCTTCATGACAGACCAAGTTGCACTAAGAGCAATCAACATTCTGTCTGGGTTTGTTTTTTTGCAAACATGCCGCGAGTTTATATGTATGCAAACTAGGATTATGCACAGCGCTGTGCTGGATACAACTAGGACATTTAGATAAGATAAGAAGACAAGATACACTTTATTGAACCCCATGGGGTAATTTGTCCTCTGCATTTGACCCATCCTATCGTTAGGAGTAGTGGGCAGCCACAGAGCAGCGCTCGGGGACCAATTCCAGTTCTAAAGCCAGTGCTTTGGTCAGGAGTGTTCCTATAATGTATGTTTTTGTGGGTAGGGGAAACCCACGCGAACACGGGGAGAACATGCAAATTCCACACAGAAAGGTCCCAGGTCGGATTTGAACCAACGACCTTCTTGCTGTGAGGCGACAGTGCCAACCACTATGCTACCTGGCCACCAGAAAATTTAAAATTCAATATTTTGCCATCTGTTCATGTTGGAGCATCGGGATGAAGCAAATTTTCAATCGAAGGCCCAAGTGCTAAAAGCACTTCAGTCACATTTTGTACAATTCAATTTCAGTTCAATTTCTGCATAAAAAAATGTTGTGTTTGTCTATTGAATGATATAAATGAAGACCCCAGTGCTGAAAGTACTTAAGTCACAAAGTGCCTATTTGGAGACTATAGAGAAAATAGACCAGGGTAACTGTACAAGAAGTTTTCCCATCCTTACCTCACAGTATGAGAAAATGTGGCAAAGGTACATTTAACACAAGGCTCTTCAAATATCAATCAATTTAAAGACACTTTGGTTACCTGAAAAGAAGAATATCCAATATCTTATCCTGAAAATATTGATATTTTTTGCACGAATATATAGCGCATACAGGAACTCCAAAGAAGTGTCATTTTATCCACAACTCCTGTACCACATTCAACAAACCGATTGCAAACAGTTGTTCTTACTTTTATTTACATTGTATTTATTTATTTATTTTACATTTTATGTTCATACATCATTGAAAGTAAGTATCAGATACTGGACTTTGGTTAGAATTAGCTGTTTGGTGGTAAAGGTGTACTTCCCTGGTTTTAAAACAGCATTGACCCATATTCCTAGCCTTAAGTGCCTGAGATACTGTGCTTTGTGACACTTCATAAAAAATAACATGTGAAAACGAGCTCTTTTCTATGTTTTTGAAAAAGGCTTTAAAATTTAAATAGTTAAAGATCTTTTCATTTTCATTCAGAATTATTTTTATATGATATTTATGTTTGCATTTGCGTCTGGTTGTTTTTCATTTTTGCTTACGGCAGCTGTCCCCCTCCCTAATCATGCTACATGCAGAATTATTAAAAATAATTTTGTCCTTCAGAGGGGAGCAGTGACATAAAAAACTGACCACTCAAAGAAAGCAAACCATGGGTGCTGCCATATTGGATCACATGACCTCAGTGTGGCATTCTGATTGGTGGTAGGCTTTAGGGAACAATTGGCTCAGTGTTTCATTGCTTCTGCAATGTAACAGCATTTCCTGGGGTATTTAACTTCAGATTTCTCATCTTTTGCTGCAAAATTGTGTTAATATTCAAATGCCCAGCACTAAAGCTTGCTGTAGTGACCTCATATTTTTGGGGGTGGTATTTATTGGCTTTGTTTTTATTCTTCAAATACTCCATGTTAAACATTTAACGGTGCGGGCACTCTGTGTACTGCAACTATAAATAAATAAAAACTTCCTCTCCCCATAGTTCTCCAATTTTGCCGGAGCAAAATTATTTCTTCCAGAGTCACCACATTGATATGAAGCTCACAGTTGAATGCTGAGTCATGACAATTGGCCTGCAATAAGGCTTGTTAAATTCAGCTGAAATTTACAGTAACTGACCACCTAGAGTTCAGGATAAATGCTTGCGAAATACAGACTGCCTTCTAGCAGACAGCTTCATGCCACTTGTGATTGGCGTAACAGTTAAAATAATCAATCTACCCTAACAGCCAGCCAGGAAAGGCTGTGCAGCACATCACAGAGCAGGATAATACAGCCTAATCCACACTGAGGCGACCCTGCTCTTCCAGGGGGTATCAGCGGCTGCCAGATTCAAGACTGTGATTGATACATGGTAAATTGATTTAGCTTGAATAACGTAATGAGCTGGGGCAGATAATATGAGCCCAAGCAGTTTGTTTATTGATGGTGCCCTGCACAGCATCATGGGTAAAACACTGCTGACCCATGAGCTAAAGAAAACTGATTGTGTCTGTGAATGCTGGTGGAAAGGTGGTAGGCACGCGCGCTGTGTGTGTGTGTGTGTGTGTGTGTGTGTGTGTGTGTGTGCGTGTGTACATCTGTGTGTGTGTGCGCGTGTGTGCATGGGATTGCGTGCAAGTGCGCATGTGTGCTTGTGTATGTATGTGCATGCGCGCCTGCACGTGTGTGCATGTGGGTGCATGTGTGCGTGTATGTATTTGCATGCAACTGTGCACGGCAGTGCTGATGAAATAGGATGCAAGATTTTCAAGCAACAATTGAGGGAAATTACTAAGTTCCTTTCATCAATGGCATCAATGAAATCTTGTTTCTTTGCTACTTTTTTAAAGTGGTTAACAAAGGTGAAAAATACTGTCACACAAGTCAGCCAAGAGTTCTCAAAGCAAATAAAACAAATTCTAAACTGGAAACATGTACAGTATAATGTGGAAAATAAGTAAATATGTCAACAGTAAAATTGGAGGGGAAAATTGGCAATATGGTTCATGCTTATTAAATGATGCGCAGCACTCAGGAGGTTAAGAGGTTTTAATTTCACAGATGGATTTCTGAATTGGCAACATAGATGTGTGACATAGCTTTTATTAATAACCTCCATTCTGTTGGTCTGAAATGAGGTTTTTATCACAGGCATGGAAAAATTCTTTTTTTTTTTTTTTTTTTCCGCTGCATAGTCTCATTGCTTGGATTCTCCCTATTATGACATCCCAGATAGACGTGTCCCAGTTAGACGAATGGGTATTTTAGGCCGAGTTTTCATTTTACCCACACACCAGATAGATGTGTCCCAGTTAGACGAGTCGGTATTTTAGGTTATTAGCCATTATATTTCTTGCAAATTTTTTCATTGGAAGCTGCGTACCTGAGAATTGGTACAACATTGATTTAGGTCTATGGGACAGTTTTTAATCCAGGCTATGGGACCCATGGGTGGCGTCCTTGGGGACGAAAAGTCCTTGGGGATGAAGAGTCTGGGGACGAAAAGTCCACAGGGACGAAAATCAAAACTTCCGGGGACAAAGAGTCCGGGGACGAAACGTCTGGAGACGAAAAATCTGTGGACGAAGGGTCCTGTAATCCATTAAAACCTCGGCCAACCAAGGGTGATATTCTGCCATCAAGGACTGCTTTTGATAAACTAACATTGGCTGTTTATTGGACCATGAGGGTTACACTGTCCCATTCATACTGGACAGTGGAAGGGCTTTTACTTTCAATGGCTTTAATTTTATGAAAATGTGAAAATTTGGCTGGGAAGAAAGTCCTTTAGCTGTTAATGAAGGGCTGAAGGCAGCATATCTAAATGGTGATGTTTCCATCAGCCACAATGGAAACAAGGCCGTTTATAACAGTCTGGGTTTTGATTGCTAAGAGAGTCCAGACAGTTGGCCGCCTGCTGGGCAACGAGTATTCCCACACCCCCTTAAGGAATCGTTCCCCAAAAATTGGTAGGCTCTGTGACCTTACCACACAGATGCTGTATGCCAAATATGAAATGAATTGGTTGAAATTTCTTGAGCGCTCATAACAAATGTCTATGGACATGGTGGATGCGGCGTGACGATCGCTGATCCATTGTATCTCCGACTCATAGTATCCCCGACTCTTCGTCCGGGGATACATTAATGTTTAAAATTGTCATGAAATGCATGAACATCACAGTGCGGTAAATGTGTGCAGCTGTATTCTTTCAAGTGCAAGTTAAAATCAGGGCAATAATGCTTGGAGAGGCAACATGATAAATATTGCTTGGAAACTTTGGCTAAAATGAGTCAAAATTACACGTAATAAATATCAAGTTTTCTTTTTCCTCCCAAAAAACTGATTTTTTTCAACTGAAGAGCTTAATGCTAAAAGTACTTAGGTCACATTTTCATACACCATGAGGTAAGGATGGGAAAACATCTTTTGTAGATACCCAAGTCAATTCTCTCAATTTTTTCAAAGTGGAAATTTTGTGAATTTTAGCACTGGGGTCTTCAATAAACAGATTTAATGGATCTATTACACTATATATTCAGACCCATTTTCTACCAAAATAAACATTTTGTGACTTAAGTACTTTTAACACCAGGGCCTTCAATTGTTTTCAATGTCTTTTAGCTAATTAACAGATACTAAAGATAAGCCGTGTAAATTCTGAGTGATGTGTTTGTGTTTGTGGCTGACCGGTGGGTCTGAAGTGCTCTCTCTGTGCTGGAGACCCTTATCATGGGGCAGGGGTTGTGCTAATATGGTACACCTTTACTACCGGTGGTGTGTATGTATGTGTGCGCGCATGTGTCAATGTGCATGCTTGTATATGTGTGCGTGCGTGTGTGTGTGTGTGTGAATGACAATAGAATAATCAGACAATATAACTTTTGCTCCCAAAATGGCTCATTGTGTTATTAATTTAAGTTAGTTATTTATTTTCCATATCAGTCTGATGGCCCAATGTCTTGTTCATCCAACAAGTATGTCATCCTGCTAATGTTCTCCGCTTGGATTTTTAATTCGCTCAAGTAATGCTGGGAATTACTCAGTTATTTACGAGATAACGATTATGCCTGGAGTACAGCAATTACATCTTAATTCAACATATATCTTTGTAGCAAAATGTTATTTTAATTTAGATACTGTAGTGATTAAAACAAACGAAATTTTATGGAACAGCAGTGCTGGGGAGGTATCTGTCACAGGAGATTATACCGAACCATCAGCATGTTTCTGTGGGATCAGACAGGGCATTTTAAATTGAATTAAGGTGGAACCATCATCAACAGGGAGCAAAGCTAGCTGAGTGGTGAAGTCTCACTCACATAATGACTGCACTGGACATATCCATAAAATTTATGAAAAATGGTTAGACTGTGACTAATTGCTCGTTTAGTGTCTCAGAGGGTTGTTAAACAGACCATTACCTTTTAACACCTTAAGCAAGAAATGGGATTAATTAAGCAGGAATGCATTCCTCATGTCTGCCAAGAATCTACCTGCTATACTCTAAAAACAGACTGTAATGCTTTTTTTTTTTTTGACTCAGAGGAAATCATTGGTATTATAGTGAGAACAGCTTTCGGTCTGTATTCACCTGTCTCTGAATGATTGTACAGAAGAGAACATGTTTGAATAAAACTGGATGTCTAAGGCTTTACTGAGGCAATTGCATTTGCTGTATTCATGTTTCACTTGTGGGCA